CCAGAATAAGACAATAGCTTACATTACATGAATAATGACATCAGTACTCAGATGACCGGAAAGCCTTATGGCAACTCCTATAATCTGATTTTAGCATCCAACTGTGTTTTAGCATCTGACTGTGTTTGATTGATTTGACCAAATTGGTCAAATCAATAGTCAAATGCAAAAAGATTTATGCTCCACTAGAAAAGTGAAAAAAAGTTATTTCTCAAATGCTTTTTTTGCACATTAGCCTAAATGTTTAACCTATTAGTGACCTACAGGGCAATTTATTTCATCATTAAGCTTTTCTTTTCTTTCCAATTGCTATTTTTCTGATAGGCTGCGTTTTGAATGAAAGCATTATGGATTAATTGATGCATTGATCGACTAAGGCTTTCAGCACTCCAATTTATGAGGGGAGGATTTATGCAGGCTCAGTCACAGCTGACTTGACTGACCTGTTTATTGAAAGTAAAGCTATTTTTGTCCCAGCTCAAAGGGAGCAACTTAAGATTAGACAAGATTTATTAGTCTGTCACAGGTTGGCACATGTAGCTAAAGGTTTAACTATTTAAGCTTAGATGGCATGAAAGGAGTAATTTTTTTCTTTTTAAGGTGGATACTTCCTTTTCTAGATAAAAAAATAATAATTAACTATTTGTTTTGTTTATGAGTTAGAAAAAGAAACACTTATTTTAGTATATGTGATGAAAATAATGGAAAAAAAAAGACAATAAATACAATAATATTTGAAGCTGACCTCCTCCAGAAGATCATCCTTAACAACTTGTAATTGCATCTCATGCTGACGCACAACAAATTAGGAAAACCGCTTACTGGAAACCAGTCACTCCAAAGGTTATCAAACTTGGCACAGTCAATATTTCACTTGACATTTTTAAATTTGCGTCATAGTGATCTATTTCCTTTTACCTTTTGAACTTATAACATATAAACTCAACTCTTCAAGACTAATGCACATACATTATCGCCATGAAAGCACATAATAGCAAACTACTGTACACTGTTAGAGCCTTGAGAGGGACTGTGATTAGAAAGCTAGGGTCAAATGGTAAAAATTTATATTTTCATCAAAGCTATTGTTAATTTCTGTCTTCTTTGGACATTTTAAGGTTATTTATGCTGGCAGCATAGGTCTTAGCCGCCGACATATCATTTCAGATGAAATAAAGTTCTCTGGTGATACATACCAACAACTGAAATTAAGGAGTTTTTACCCCCAGTGGCTTTGATGAAATAGGTCACTGGTCAGCAAAACAGAGCTGCCATGGTGCATATCGTCCCTCAGGGATTAAGTGAGGTCCTAAAAAAGAAAACATTTTTTATTTCACTGAGCAGGGTCCATGTGTATTTTTGTGACTTTTGGAATGAATTTGATAAAAGAAGGAGTGTAGAGGGTTGTGCTTTTTGTGATATTTAACCTAAATGAATGACTAAACTATATTCTCTGTGAATTAGGTGGATATGGAGCATAAAAATGTGAATAGGTATGGTCCAAAGTCATAATGTAATGCTGTAATGCAGTTATTCAGAAGTTGAAAAAAAGCAGAAACTATTCTAAGAGCCTATATTTTAAAACAGGTTACAAGAAGAAATATGACTCTTTTTGGTAATATTTTTTATATACCTTTGTGCAACTCTACATTTAATAAATACAAACAAGCAAATTATTGTAAAAATGTTATGGTTAAAGGAGTCATAACTAGATATTTTACATATAAAAATTCTTTAAAATGTCTTTAAATTCCCAAATAATGTTTTTTAGGACAACAAAAATTAAATAGAGCTCATTCGGACCCCTTTTCTTCTCCAGAGGGTATGAGAACTTGATGTATGTGTGAAAATTTAACTGGATTTAGTCTTTTTCACCATGGGGAAAAGGTTGCAAAGTAGCCCCACTTTACCAATTGCACTGAAAAAATGAGGAGTAACATTTTTTAGAGAACGCTAGCTAACTTTTTATACATAATTTTTTTATAGATGTCATTCTATAAATCCAAGTTTAATTTTACTTACTTAAGAACGGTTGATTTTTTTAAACAAACTCTAGAACTTTTACTACCATATTATTGTTAATAAAGGTGTACTTTTGTTTTGCTAATAAATAATGCTGAACTCATATTTTATTCAGTTACAAATGTTAAGTAAAAAGTAATAATTTTCTTTTTCCAAGTAATCAATTGCATACTATTTTCATTGTTTTTCCATTTTCAATACATACAACTCATCTAATAAAATTCAATACAGCTGTAAGACATTACAAACCCTTTGTCAGCATGTGGGTGGAGGTTGGTTGAGGACCCAAATGCAGAGATGAGGGAGGCAGAGATTAATTCTTGTAGGTTTAATAAAATAAAAAAAATAACAGAAACAAAATCCAAGCAGCAAACCAAAAGGCCAGGAGATGTCAGGAGAAAACACACATGGGGAGCCAAAAAACAACAAGGAACCAGCACTGAAGAACTGCACAGGGGGAGGATATATGGGAGACAGAACAAAGACTGGGGTAATTAGATGATATGGAGCAGGTGTGGATGCAAGTGACTAGAAGGGAGCTAGGTGAAAGGAGACAGGAACAAGAGGGCAACAGAGAGTAACTCAAGACTGCTTGAATATAGCACAAAATGGAAAACAAAACAAAAACAAAAACAAAAAACCCAACAAATAACACTTTTAAGCTATAAGAAGACTCTCTGTATACAGTAATCTTGCAACTGCAAATCAGGCTATATTAAAACAATCATTTCTCACTGAAAAGTAATCTTGTCTGATTCAGACAGTTATTGATTAAGAGAAACAAGGAAACACCCATCCTTTTTCTCCCACTTATTAATTTAAGGTCACATTGCCTATCTCAAGCAGTCTATTGCCATAGGCGGTGCAAACCTGGACAGTTCGCCATTCTATTGCAGGGCAACACAGAGATGTACAGCCATGCACATATACATTCACACCTAAGGAGAATCTAGCAAAGCCAATTGACCTGTGGGAGGAAGCTTGCGTACCCTGGGAGGATCCACATGCAGAACCGCAGAACTTTCTTGCTGCAAGGCAAAAGTGCTACAAACTGCACCACTGACAAAATATTCTATTTCTGACCTAAACATTCAATTGAAAAAGCTTCCTGGATAAGAAGTGAAACGTCTTCAAACTTGTAAACAAAGTCCAGTGGATTGTTTCTAAATTTTTTTTGGAATGACTATGACTGACAATCTTCACCAACACTCTGCATTTAACCCACCTCCTTGGGGAGCAGTGGGCTGCCATCATGTTTGGTTGTTGAAAGGCAGGCCAGATTTAACAATAAATATCAGTTATCCTCCTACTTGAGGAAAACTGTACAATACCAACCCCAATAAGTTCAGAGTACTCAAGATGTTTGTGGAAACTGTGTTAGGAATCCAGTTTGTGTGAGTTTTTTGTGTGTTTCTTCTCTCTCCACCAGCAGGTGGTGCCCTGTCCTCTTTGGGCCTTCCTGCACACCTGCGGCTCGTGGATTCATTACTGGCGGAGTATTTGAGCTGTGAGCTGTCACTACCTGGACGCCAGAGTGTTTGCCAGTTTTGGGTACTCTAGCCAAGCTGAGATTAGCTGAGTATAACCTGAGCTTTGTTTCTCTGAGTCCTATCTAGTATTCTGTCTTTGCTCTTAGGCAGGAAGCCTTCCTGTGTAAGTGGACACCTGGACCTTCTCCCCCTGGAAGGATTTACCGAGTACACACTGAGCAGGGGATAACCTCTACGTGATCCGTTCAAGTTCCCATCGGAAATCCAAGTAACAGTCGACTCCATTCCTCCTCCGGGTCCAACGTATGTCTACCTGTCCACTGTCCAATGAGTTCCCTCTTCTCTGGATAATCCCACACAGACTGGATTCAAGGATAGACAAAAGCCCCCTCAAACACTTTCCAGTTCCGGTTCACCAGTTCGCTGAGTTCCAGATCCAACCTCCGTTCACATTGCTACAAATAAACCTATTAAACTTTTCTCCATGTTCTCTGAGTGGTTTCTCTGCATGTGGGTCAGATTCCTTAAACCGATCATGACAAACTGATTATTAGTTTGGAGTACTTATATTTTTACAACATTTAAATCATAGTTTAAAACATGGAACTACTTCACACTTTAATATTATAACTCAATTAGTAAAATACTTTGAGGTACTGTTTGTCTCTGTGTTGCCCTGAAATAGTACGATGACCTGTCCAGGGTGTACCCTACCTAGGCACCACCACCCCTCTCGACCCCAGCAGGGATAAGCGTGAAGATGGATGGATGGATGGACTTTGAGGTAATTGTTTTCCACAAATGTTTTGAATATTATGAACTATTTGAATTTACAGTATTTGCTTCAGATTCTGAATTCCAAGAGACTTTTTATTAGCTAAGGAAAATCTTACCCTAGAAAAGCTACTGTGGAACAACATTTGCACTGTTGAACTGATTGGGGGTGACATAAGAAAAACTTCTCCTATAAGGCACATTAACATACTGTATTGCATGTTCAAAAATATTGGTAATCTAAAGCCCAGAACTAAATCTATTTGATGCTGATATCTTGTATGAAAATGAAAATGGTCTACGCATAGATTTCATTAATTTGCAAACCACACTTTTAAGATTTTAGAGGTAATTCATTTTGGAAATTTCTTTCCACTTGAGAAAAATAATGTATTAATTAGTTTTTTCCTTTGTTTTAATCCCTTAGAATACATATCTATCTTGGTAATTAATGAAAATGAATTAAACTTTTTTGGAATAAAAGTTCTGATAAACCTTCGTAAAGTCTTGGAGGAGTGTTACACGGCAACATGGAAAATATTAAATCAACAATGCGCTGATATTATAAATGACAATGAACCTAAATTGGAAAATGTAGCGGGGTGGGGGGTCAATAAAAAAGGGAGGGTTTGGGTAGAGGAGGGGTGTTTCGGGGGGAGTGGTGCTGAATGAACAGCTCCTCATCATCATAAAACAAGCAGAGGGCTCCGCTGCTCCGCCAGAGCCGCCACAGCCATGCTCCAGCCGCGCTCCCCGTCCTGCAGCCCTACGCTGCCTCTCCTCCTGCGCCCCTGACCCTGCACAGATCACAGCCATGAAGAGGCAGAACGTGCGGACACTCGCCCTCATCGGCTGCACTTTTTTCTACCTGATCGTGGGCGCCGTTATCTTTAAAGCTCTGGAGTCCGGTGAGGAGACAATCCAGAAGGAAATGCTGGACATGAAGAAGATTAACCTGCTCGACAGATTGAACCTCTCCAAAGAGGGCTTTGACGAGCTGGAGGAGGTTGTTCTGGAACTGAAACCGCACAAAGCCGGCGTGCAATGGAAATTCGCAGGTTCCTTTTATTTCGCCATCACGGTGATAACGACCATAGGTAAGAGCGCAACTTCTCAGATCGAACTTAGGAGTTTTATCCCAACTTATTCTTCACGTCTGAGCGTTTTTTCTCTCTCCAGGATAAAATACCATAGAGAAGATAGATACTGCTGAATGCCCAAACCTGTTGTACTTAACTTTTTCTACTTGTTTGCCATCAATATCAGAGTGTATATATTTATGTCCACTTCTTATGGTGGCAGAAAAGGCCACATAGGAACATTCTATGCTGTAAAAATGTCACATCCTTGTAATTATTCTGCAAAATAATAGTTCAGATAGATGAATAGTAAAGATAAAGGATATTATATTATGATCAATGGTAATAATCATCCTTATCATCAATCATCATATTCTCCAGATCAAATATTCCCGAAAGATGTGGGAATTTGATCAAAAATCATAGCAGTCAATATTTATTTATTTAGTTATTTATTTATTTATTTATTTATGTATTTATCCTAAATGCGTTCCTATGATTGCAAGTGGCACAGACTGATGGTTTAACAAACGTACAGAGGCGGATTCTATAGCATTTCATTTGCTTGCAGCATTATGCATGTCTCTTAGTGAAGCCAAGAGGAGAACGATTTGCCAAGGTTGTTAGAACTGATGCTTGAGGAAAATTAAGGCCCACTGACTTGTTTTGTTGTGTTCTGTATGTTCTTGTTATCTCTTCCCCCAAAAGACCCATGTGCAACAGCATAAGGTATTAAGATGCAAAATGTGAAACTCCATGCTACTTGCAATACATTTTTATTTCAGAATATGTCAGATCTACAAGTGCAGGGTTTTGTTGGAGTAAAGTCATACAAAAGACGATGGTTTAAGCATCCCTAAAAATATACATTTACCTACCAGACACAGAATGAAAATGAAATGAACTGAAATCAAACTGCATACCTCAATTAAGACCCGACAGCAGGTGATTTTTGTTATTGCCCAAACATTCACTAACAGTCTGATATAGTTGTTATATATATATATATATTTATTTATTTATATATATAGCTTTTAAATAGCAACAAAAGTTCAACTACAAAGTCTTGAGACGGTAGAGCTGAATATGTATGCATAACGCACCTCCCTTTTGTAAAAATGTCTGAAAATCGTGTGCAATTTTTCTTCCACATGCACTTTGCTGTTTGCCTATATTTTGAAAATACAAACAAAATACACTGTATTTCTGGTTCTAAGATGACACAATGTGAAAATTTGTCGAAATTCGATATGAATACATTGTAAATACGCTTACAAGAAAAAAGAATAAAAAAAGGGAAAATAACCTCAGTCATGACTTGAGAGATGTATACTTAACTTCTTCTTCACCCTGTTGTTTGGAAAACAGTATTTATGTCAAACAGAGGCATATTTGGTTTTTATCTCAGATTCAAAAAGAGCTTTTAAAACCAATTGTCTCTATCAATGCCATAAATATAAGTCCGATATTGTTTCCTGGTTGAGGAGATTACAATGTGGAGAAATAACCCAGTTTCCCTTCATTTTAAAACCATGTATGATTCATTTTGATCAAATAAAGTAAGCAGAAAAGTTAAAAGCAACAAAATTAAATCCTGAAAAATCTTGTTTAAAAAACACATTAAAAGATTAAAAGAAAGATGAAATCATTTGAAGCTAAAAACAAACAAATAAGGGACATTTTAAAATTTTTTACTTCACCTTTAAAAATTCTGAGTTTAATAATTTAACTTAAAGAAGAATGAAAAGAAGTAAATGGAGTTCATTAAACACAATAGTGATCTGGCAGGACTACGGAAACTGCTGAAATGTCAGAGAGCAAAGCCGTCAGAATAAATGGGCACTCGAACCCTAGTTATAAAACATGCTGATCATGTGGAATTGGGCTAAAAACAATTGAAGGGAATAATCCCTCTCAGCCCTGGTAAACCAAGTCTGCCTGCCATTGACGCATCAGTAGCTAATAAGCTTCCTCCTCCCTTTCATTTTTGCTTATATCATTTAGGCTTTAAACATCAACAGCAGCCATCCCATAACAAAAGTCAATGATATTTGAAAGCTATAATCAAATACAATGACCTCACTTCAGTTATTCCTACAAGGTTTAAAGGAGATAAAACCAAGAACATATTAATGAAAACAGATGTTTAAAAGCATTGATTCTGTTTCAAAAATATCAATTTCATTCTGTTCTTATTTCAGTTCCAATCTTTTTTTAAATCAAAATATCAAAAATAGAAAAAATGTTAATTAGTCCTGTCGAGAAATTAAATGTTGTAACTCATATAGGGGTTTCTGCAACGAGCTGTATTGTAGATGCTGATGTCAGTAAGCAGGAAGGGTTCCCTTAAGCATCTGTCTCACACTGCAATCCTGTTTACAAGGAAACAATATTGGAATTGAATATTACATGTCATAGATGTTTTCTATCATAAATGTATGGTTAAATAGCTCTTTTCGAATATGTACTAAATGTCAAATATATCAATATTTGACATGCATACTGTTTAGCGAACCACAGGATGATTCCCAATAACTTTCAGGAATAAATAAATAAAAATAAATGCCAAAGTTTAGTTTATGCACATCCCACCAGATGCCCTTCATCCAGATTTTGGTGTCCTACATGCATCCTGGAAACAAGAGTACTTAATGCTTTCTTTCAAACAAAGGCTTTTTAACTTTCACATTGTTATATACGACCAGTACTTGCCCCATAAAAAAGAAATGATTAAAATGAGATGAGGATCTCTATCAGAGACCTTGATGCTCCTTCACGGATCACTTAGCTCCACTTCCAACCCGCCAGTTTACATGGTCAACCAGGTCCTAAAAATCTTCCATTGGGCTATTTTCAGATGTTCTCCCCATGCATGTGTGGGTTCTCTCTGGGTACTCCAGCTTCCTCCTGCAGTCAACAAACATGAATTTGAGATAAATTCCTCTCTTAATTGTCCTTAGGTGTATGTGTGTATGTGCGTGGTTGTACGTCTCTGTGTGTATCTGTGTCGCCCTGCAACAGACTGGCAACCTGCCCAGAGTGTACCCCGCCTCTTACCTGCCTGACCAAATAAACTGGAGAAGATAAACGGATGTGATGATCACTGTAATAGGCATGTTTATAGCTCATCATATAGTTTTATAACCTTACTCCCTTTTAAAGATCTCTATGATCCGTATTCTCTTTGTCCTCATGATGCTGTTTGTTCTCTGATATTCTCTAACTAACCTCTGAGGCCTTCAGATAACACCTGGGTGTATGCTCATTAAATTACACACAGATGGACACTATTTAGTAATTAGAAGAGTTCTGATGGCTGCTGGGCACACTGGGAATGTACCAAAGAATAGGAGGCTGTCAGTCCATTACATCACCGGCCTATTACCATCTAAAAACATTACTAAAATAAAAAAAACATAGTATCTAAACCAGACTTGGAGAGATTAATCCATGCATTTGTCTCCAGCAGGTTAGTCTATTGTAATGGCCTGTTCATTGGTCTTTCCAAACATGCTGTTAGACAACTGCAGTTTATCCAAAATGCTGCTGATTGAGTCCTCACCAGAACCAGGAAATATGACCATATTAGTCCATTGCTCTGGTCTCTGCACTGGCTTCCTGTGGCTCAGAGAATAGACTTTAAAACAGCTCTACTTGTGTACAAGCAAGTCTTCTCATGGTTTAGCACCAAAGTACATCTCTGACATGTTAGACTCGTATGAATTACCTTGGGCCTTGAGCTCCTTGGGGACGGGTCTCCTGGTGGTCCCTTGAGTCACCACTAAACATGCTGAGGCTGTGTTTCAGTTTCATGCAGCCATGGTATGGAACAACCTCAGTGAGAAGGTAAAACAATTCTGAACTCTTTAATTCCAGTTAAAAAACATGCCTATTTTGTGTTTATTTGTATTGACTGAATTTGTTTTATGTGTTTTTATTGTGTTTGCACTGTTGGTGTTGCTGTGAGGCAAGTTGAGTTCCCTTGTGCATGAAATGTGCTGTATAAATAAAGTTGCATTGCCTTGCCACTCTTTCAAGAATATTTGCTGCATAAGATCTTGAAAAATACTTCTTTCTATAATTGTAAATCTGCATCATAGTAAACAGAGAACATACTGTACACTAACTGTCACATTGAAGTTTACAGGCCCTCTCCGTCACATAGTTCCTACTTGTTTAGAAGCTGCTTTTATCTTGACTTCCTATCACACTCTCCATCCTGTATTCAGTAACGATTGCGGTTGTCGTTTCTGACCTGTGACTTGTAACCGTATCAGATGCAAGAAGCTAATTGCACACTAACCAAACCACGGGTGTTTGTGTCCACTTTCTGTCATTGTTAGCCCTGCAGATGGTAGAAACCCAGTGACTGGCATTTCAGTCCACCATTAAGAATTAATGACAACACCAGAGCCTCCTTGTTCCACTATAGTCCTGGCACACGACTGCAACATTGCAAATACTATACTGGTAACACAATATCACAGTCCGGCTACAGTAATGTTCTTCTACTGTGCATTATGTAAAAGAAATGAATTTAATTATTCTCTAGCTTATTCCAGTTGAAGAAAACTAAGATGAAGCCCAGCTGTTCAATGCTCAGCTTTTGATTAAACATATGTGCAGAAGAAAACTGCAATCAGTGATTAGACAACACTTTACAAAGATTAAAAAGATGAGGCGGAGGGCAGAGTGTCCTCTTACACACTTTCAGGGGATGGACTGAAGTGATGCGAGACACACAACCGGGGAAAATAAGAGAGCTTTGAGCAAGCTGAGTTCGGGAACCGGGTGTAATAAGATTCGGAGGCTCAAGGGGGGCGGGTTGTCTGCATCACTGTCGTTGTCACCCTCCTCCAGGGGTAAACGTCTTGTCACTGCCACGATCGTCTGTTGCATGCTGAGGACAAATTCTCAGCACAGAGTGTTTTATAATAAGACATGTCACATGTCTGATGTGCTGTTTGACGTCTGATAAAGATGTAAACTTTTGGTTTAAAGAATGTAAGGAATGGTTT